GCAATCCCCGTGACCAGCCCAGGAAGGAGTTCTCAACCTTCCTCATGCCACGACCCTTTCATACAGTTCCACATGTTGTGGTGACCCCCCAACCATAAAACAATTTTCAATGCTACTTCATAACTGTCATTTTGCTACTGTTACGAATCGGCAACCCCTGTGAAAGGGTCGTTCAACCCCCAAAGGGGTCGCGATCCACAGGTTGACAACTGCTGCCTTAGAGACTTACCTGGTATGCTTTTGATGGAAATTGGGGTACTAGAGTCTCATGATCATGAATCATATCCAGACAAAGGTTGTGAGCAGCCGCTCCAGCCCCCAGAAGCAGGCTTTTCTAATCGACTGTAGAGTATGCATCCCCCTCACGGCCCTTTCCCCACTGCTGAGACTGTGATGAATGAGTGTGCACCTACGATGATTTTGTGATGAATTTCTTTTGTTTTCCATCTTCCGTAACTAGCCACATAGCCATGAACCCTTTAGACACCATTATGGCCTTGGGCTGATAATCTCCCTCATCGGGATGATTCGTTTCTTGATGTTGTCTTTTCTTTGTCCTGCTTCAGCGATTCTCAAAGGCTCTCGGTGCTGATGGCATATTGGATGACACCTTGAGCTGCTAAGTACAGGGTCGGCAGTTCAAACCCACCAGCCGCTCTGAGGGAGAAAGATGAGACTTTATCCTCTTATGAAAATGGACAGTCTCAGAAACCCTCAGGGCCAATTCTACCAGGCCCCGTAGGGTCAGCGTGAGTGGAACTGATTCAATGGCTGTGAGTTGGGAGGTTGTTTGGTATAAAACATATGGAATTTGGGGTCTCTTTTCCCCTAGAACAGGTAACAAAATTTACTACTGGGGGAAAAAAATTTCCAAAACTTTTCCTATTATGATTCTTGTTAGGATTACTATTAGCATATACTCGACTAAACACTAACCAGGGGACTTACAGGAATTAAATACCAGTGGTAGAAATTCTGGTCTCACTTAGCATTGAAGGAAGGAAACTAAGAAAAGGGTTTAAAGGGCTTACAACTCGGAGCATGTTCACTGTCTTATTAGCCTGTTTATACTCTTTAGTGGTGAGCAATTTGGGTGGAGGTGGAGAGGGAAGAGAGAGAGAAAAGAAATGAGAATAGATTCCTGAGGTTGAAACCTTATTCATGATAAAGTAAGTCCCTTGGCTCTTGCAGTCTGGATGTAATATAAACTGTTAAATGTTAATGGCTATGTTTATAAAACGGAGATGCACTGTTCTTTTTCTAGAAAGGAAAAAAGAGAGCCCCGGATGTTATTTCCTATTGAATTACTCAGGCATCTCTGCGTTGAGCACCTCATTTTGGGACATGTGCCAGGTGCACCCAAAGTCTCAACATTTGTCACACGTTCCAGGATGAGTTTGCCCGGCCTCTGTACACGAACACGTCTGTCCCGATAACAAGCTCAACCGATAGTTAAAGGCAGTCCTGCTTTTCCCAGCCTTGACTTCTTTCCAGAAGATGAGGCGCTGCCCGGGCCCTGACACGTCCCTGGAGCAAGAATCACTTCTCCTTTTTCAAAGAGGCCTCACCAGAGGCCAGTGAATACCTGTCCCTCGTCAAAGGACTTTCCTGGGCCTCAGTTTCTATGTCTGGAAAATGGGGAGGCCAGGACAAACTCACCCTTGGGGGTCACTATCTTTCTAAAGCTATAGTTGCCTTTTAAGGCCAAGGTCAGCTCTAGCCTCTTGTATGTGATTTTTCTTTTCATAGGCACCATTTCAGACTCAGAAAGCAGTGACTTGCCACTTAATTCCATTTTAATTGTTTCTTCTAAGTGGGTTCATTTGATTGCCTCAGTTGGGTTGAGAATTCCACCAGGGAAAATTCTGGAATCATTCTCAACAACCCTGGTATTTATTTGAATATTGCGTATTCAACGTCATAAAAATAACAGTAACAATTATTTTTACAGTGGCCATTAGTGACCGAACATTATTTCCAAGGCGCTCTCCGGAAGTCTTTACAATCGTCACTTCACCGCCTGCCCGAGGGGCTGGAGGAGCCCTGATGGCCTCGTGACTATGCCCTGGGCCGTCCGCAGTTCAGGGCCACCAGCGAGGGAGAAAGCTGAAGTTTCCTATTCCCGTAAACACTTCCAGTCTCAGAAGCTCACTGGGGCCTTTCGACCCTGCCCTACGGGGCTGCGATGGGCTGGCAGGGAGTTTGATTTTGTTCTACGGGGCACTTTGGACATGTTATCAAAGGAGAAGGCTGTCCTGCTCAGTAAAAGGTCAGCAAAAAGGAAAGCCCTTCCTGCCATGAATGGGCACAGGGGCTGCACAGTGGTCTCCCCATATCAGGGATTAGGGCAAGACCAGGCCGTAGGTTGTTCTGTTGAACAAGACAGGAGACACTGGGCTTCCTTTTCAGTTGAGGAAACCAAGACTCAGAAACTACGGAGCTTGCTGAAGCCAAGCACTGAGTCAGCAGCTGGGACTTGAACTCTTGTTTATGTGACTCCAGGAGAAAGATGGGGCGTGCTACTCCCCTTCCTAAGGAGTGATTGTCTCAGAAACTTGCAGGGGGCCATTCTACCCTGTCCTACAGGGTCGCTATGGGCCTGAATCAACTTGACGGCAGTGAGTATATCTGACTCCTAGGGGTGAGCACTGGGTTTGAACTACATTGGCTTGTTTCTCTGTTGGACAAAGACGATACTGTCTCTTCTGGTAAAGATTTACAGACTCGGAAATCCTAAGGAGCAGCTCTACTCTGTCCTGTTGCTAGTAGGTGCCATTGAATCCGTTCTGACCCATAGCACCGCGTGCACAACAGAAGGAAACACTGCCCGGGCCCAGGCAGCCTCACAATTGTTCCCATGCATGAGCCCATTGAGGCAGCCATGGTGTCCGTCCATCTCATGAAGGGCCTTCCTCTTTCACTGCCCTGCCACTTTCCCAAGCATGCCCTTCTCCAGGGACTGGGTTCTCTTGACAACGTGCCCAGACTCGGTCCCACAGGACTGTTATAAATCTGAATCAACTCCGTGGCAGTGGGTTTAGTCTGATCCCCAAACTCCTTCCATGACTGACTGGTAGCGCTCCCTCCCACACGGTCACCTTCTCTCGTTGTCACGCCATGAAAGGAACACAAGGAAGAGAGAGAGGCAGCCAGACTTTATTCAGACAAATTACACACGTTTCATTTTTCTTTCCTCAAAGCCTCCAGATGGTGAGTCAGGGAGTGATCCCGTCGGCCTTCTAGTTCAGGAACATACATTTCAGAGGTGGAAGGAGAGTCTTACTGTTAATAGTGCCCAGCAATAGGTAAAAAGGTGTCCCCCTCCAGGAAACTGCAGTGACCACACATTCTCTTCCTCCATCTCCCTCCACTCGCCTTCTCCCCAGCCACCAGATCACATCCAAATACCCGCAGAGAAGGACCAGGTGATGGGCAGGTGGGCAGAGAGCCGTCCCTTCTGAGTCTTCATCATCTTCCGGCCTGACCACCCAAACCTCCTGCTTTAGGCTGATGCCACAGAGGCAGAGGCGTTCAGGCCCTCTGCCAGGAAGCTGGAGGGGAGGGCAGGAAGACACTAGCTTTTCCAAGCTTTGCTTTCCAATTGTTAGTACCCCTCTCCCTTTCACCTATTCTTTCAGGGCGCACACACACACACACACACACACACATGCATGTTTGAAAAGTGAGCATCACTCTCTGAGACTCAGTATCACATGCTGAGCATCCTTTCCCTCCATGGCAGCCCCTGGTTTCGAATGTGCAGCAGAGTAAAACCAGGTCCGTCCCTGGGAAAGGGAGAGCGTTCCTCACTTGGCAGTCTCACCAACGAGAGGTAGCAATCTCCCTGCCTTTAAGTAAGGCCCCTGCCAAGAGAACTGGAGATGCCCCTACTGCTTCCGCACGTCTGCTCTGCCCTCCAGGGAGAGAGGCATCTAGAGGCTCCCACCGCTGTCATCATACCCCCTCTTCACGCTTAAGTTGGCAGGCAGCGAGGGAAATAAATAGGAGGGGGAAATAGTGTTCCAGTGTTTTCTCTCTTTTTAATTTTCAGCCTCACGGCAGAGTTATTTTCTCCCGAGGGGAATCTGCCTCTGAGAAGCACATGTCCACTTGGCTTTCATAAGCCCTGGGGAAATTCCACTGGCCCCGGGGGCCGGTGATCTGCTCAAGATCCCAGAGAGGACGACGGCTTCCTGGGCATTCCTGTCCGTGAAGTCTCTTGGGGGAGCTCTGGGTGAACAGCCAAAGACGGAGAGATGGAAGGGATGGTTTCTATCATCGGGTTGGGGCCCCGGGATGTCAAGTGGTGGCAGGAATTCCAGTGGAGGAGCATGGACTGGGTGCCCACCTGGCAGAAGGAAAGGCTGCAATATCACCCAGGTGGGCCATCTCCCAGAGGCCCGGGTAAAGTGCCTGAAACTGCAGGGTGAGTCCCAAAGGCCCCTTCTGAAGACTGGGTGGAGGGAGTTCCAGCCCAGGGCAGCCAAAGGCCACCACAATGATGACCCATGGAGATAACCGATTCGAGAGCATATCTAATGGAAGTTTCTCAATTCCTTCTCTACGTTGTTTGGGAACCTGGGCTCTTTCTTGGTAGGGTAGAGATCAGTGGTCAGAACTTAGGACACCGCTGGTACGCTGCTAATGTGAAGAGATTGATTCCCTCTGACTGTACCTCCCGGGCCATCTTTGGCCATTTCTCTTCCCTTCTTCACCCTATTGATTGAGTAACCCCAACATTTCTCAGTAAGTATCCTGGGCAGAGACACAACAGCACGGTAGCCTGGGTGGGTACTCATGTCTCTGATACCCTCCCCCCCACCACACACACACCCTTACCTAGTCACCCCTAGTCACCCCTTCAGGAATAACAGAGCAATGTCATTGAAACCGCCAATGAAAACGAAAGAGCATGGGGTCAGAAGGGCCTAACTTCCGTCTTTGACCCTTCTGGTCCTGGTCCCCCACCCCACCCCCTTCCCCCTCCCCCCTTCCACACACTGAAGGGTCAGTCACACTGATAGGTCATCTGACCTGGCCTTGCTGCTGGCTTTGCTGGGCCTGCGCTTGTCGCCATGGTAGGCCTGCGGGAGGCGGTGACCTGGGGGGACTTCATGGGGCACTTCTGGCCTCTGTGCATAACGGAGGTGAGTGAAACCCTCCCCAGGCATCTCTTCGTGGCCTCGAACTTGCTCGGTGGCCAGGTTGTCCGTGTTCTGCTGAGAGGCTAGCTTGTTACTGAAGGGGTTGAAGAACTTCCCCCCGGAGCCATTCTCCAGGCACTGGTTGAAGTCAGGGGGAGGCGTGCAGCGCTGGGCCAAGCCGGCAGAAGGAGCAGGAAGCGGAGACTCGGTCAAGGCCCGTCCTGACTTCAGCAGCCGACGCCGCATCTTCTTCCAGCCCAGATGGTAGAGTTCGGCCAGGCTGAGGAAGAGGGACAGGCCAGCCACGGCCAGCATGAAGACAATGAAGACATTCTTTTCGGTGGGCCGGGACACGTAACAGTTGACGTGATGGGGGCAAGGGCTCCGGTGGCAGACGTGCAAGGTGTCCAGCAGGATGCCGTAGAGGAGGTACTGGCCCACGATGAAGGCCACCTCCATGGTGGTGCGGATCAGGATGCTGCAGACGTAGGTGTTGAGCAGGGTGCCTTGGAGAACCACCTTGCCGTTCACTTCCTCCCAGCAGGTCAGCTCTGTCTTCTCGGCCACTGGGTACTCATACGAGCCAGCGCCTCGGACCTCTTTGGCCCGCTCAGCCGCCCTTAACCTGCGCTTCTCCTGCATGCGCATCGTGTGCATGGCGTGGCCCATGTACACCAGCGAGGGCGTGGAGACGAAGATGATCTGCAGCACCCAGTAGCGGATGTGGGAGATGGGGAAGGCCTGGTCGTAGCACACGTTCTCGCAGCCCGGCTGCATCGTATCACACTGAAAATCAGCCTGCTCGTCCCCCCAGGAAGACTCGGCGGCTGTGCCCAGCACCAGCATGCGGAAGATGAAGAGGACCGTGAGCCAGACCTTGCCGATCACCGTGGACTGCTTGTGCACTTCCTCCAGGAACTCTCCCAGGAAGCTCCAGTCGCCCATCTCGGTGCAGCCAGGGGCCAGGTGTCAAGGCTTCTGTGAACGGGGGAAGGAGAGAGAGCTAAAGGAAGCTACCAAAGTCTTCAAGGTCCCCCCAGGCTCTGGGATGCCACTAATCCACAGCACAGTGTTCTTGTAAGAAAGTACAGCTTACAGAGCTGATGCACCCCAAAAGCAGATTCTCTTTCCCCCTTTCCCAGAGAGAGAGAGAGAGAGAGACTCACGGTTCAAAAGAGAAAGAAGATTCAAAAAGAGAAGACCAAGAAGCTAGGCGAGGTATGTGTTACACTGTGAATTCTGCTCTTACCCCCCCAGAAGAAGACACAGGTCTGGGCGATGTTTTGTTTTGTTCTACGTAGAGTTGCCAATTGGATGGGAACTAACATCACCCCCAGTGGAGCTCCTTCAGGAAACCTGGGTTGGCCCCCGGACTCTGGGTGCACACCAAGCAGCCCAGGTGGTCCTGATACAGACAGCCCCAGGGCCGCAGGTGGAAGAAAATACATCAGATTGGAACCTGCCAATCGGATGGGCGTGTGCTCACTGTTTCTGCGTCTGGAAGACGGAAGGGACTATCGACACCAGAGAAGGCTGGGCGTGCAAGGTCCTCGAGTAGGGGAGAAACGCCCCGAAACACACACTGCCAATGCTTCCCTAGGGTTGAACGGCTGACAGGTTAAAGAAGGGGCAGAAGCAGGGGGCGGGAGGAAGGAGGTGAGGGTCAGGTGTGGTAACTTTGCTCACTTAGGAAGCCCTGCAACCATAAGGACCATCATCCTGGACTGGCTGCCTCGGGATGGTCAGCAGAAATGCTTCCACCGCACCAGTGAAAGGCACCACAGTTCATGCTCAGCTGGTCAGGGGCCATCACCTCGGCTGAATGCAGGGCAGCATCCCAAGCACATGTTCCCAGGCGGGTCTGCACAGCCTCTGTTCCCCCGTTCAGCTGCCCTGCCGCGAAGTGCTGTTGGCGCAAGGTTCATGCGTACACAGCCCACTCACTCTCATGTCCAGAATAAACACCCCGAACTTGTATGCCCCACAGGAAGTCTTTGCCAACTGGCCTCTGCCTGCCTCTTCAGCCTTGTTTATTGCTCCTCCTCATAAGTACTCTTGTCCCAGCCATGCCAAGACCCAGCAGAGACCTCAAATGCGCTCTCAAGCACCTCTTACATGCCCCATCATCCCTCCACAGGTGACCCGGCCCTGGCAGCCTGCAGCCCTCTCCACACCCTCAGGCTAGGCTGGGGACACTCATGCCTCTCCCAACGCTTGCTCCCTTGTTATGACCTCCAGCCCGGGGTTCCCAGAGAACAGGACTGTTTCTCTCCTCTGTAGCAGGATTTGCCTGGCCCAAAGCAGGGTCTCAGGAAATCTTCGTTGAATGGCTAAAAGGAGCGGTGGAAGATGCTGGTTACCACCAATTTTTCTAGTTGGTACAAATGGTTTGCACTCGACTACTAACCTAAGGGTTGGTGGTTTGAACCCGGCTGGCAGCACTTCGGAAGAAAAGCCCTGGTATAAACTTCTGTAAAACTTACAGGCAAGAAAACCATATGAAGCAGTTCTGGTGCCACTCTGAGTCAGCATCAACTTGATTGGTCATGATTTGGTTTGGTATTCCTTGCCACTTCCTGTTAGCATCGTGAAAAAGCCACACCGCAGGTTCTTGGTCTCCACCGCAGCCAGTCCTGGTTGAGGCGCTACAGGGAGAGTCTATATAGAGAGGATGCTCTGGACCAGACCGTTCCCTCCCGGGCCCAGGAGAGGAGCCTCCCTCGCAGTCCTCTCTACGTGGACTGTGGACAGTGCTGTGTGAGTCAAGACGTCTGGAGAGGCCTTGGGGGTCTCAGAAATGCCAAGCAGGACCCTGAGACCTTTGAATCAACTCTTGGACTTCTCCCCCAAAGAATTCTTATTCCACACCCAAATCAAACTCCCTGCCACGGAGTCAACACTGACTCAAAGCACCCCTGCCCCTTGTAACTGTTTACGGGAGTTGAAAGCCCAGCCTTTTCCCAGAGGCGCTGCTAGTGGTTTCGAACTGCCGACCCTGCAGGTCACAGCCCAACTCATAACCGCTACACCACCAGTGAACAGTAAATGTCCTTATGGCTTAAACCGTTAGCTAATCCTAATCAACAGGGTGACCCAAAGGTAGGAGAGAATGGACAGAAATATCCCCATCCTGGAATTATAAAACTTCAGATTCAGATAGACTCCTAGAGGTTGCTAGGCTCTAAGTTTGCGCTCCACATCTCTGCTGACAACATGGCCGTGGTTCCGATCGGGACCTTGTGGGGAAGGCAGGGCAGAGGGGTCACTGATCTGCGCTTCCTGGGCTCATGAGTTGATGCCTTGATTAAGACCGACGTCCTGACCTGTCTTCTCCCAGCGTCCCCAGCCCAGTGAGCTCACAGCCCCTGGGACGAGGGACCCCCTGAAGGAGCAGGAGGGGCGTTATCTCTGCCCCTCCCTATCAAAGACCCATGCAGGGCTTGAGCCTGTCCTCGGATTTGTGATCAGACACCTGTGCTTTTCCTCAGACGATGAAGGGTCTCCTCCTTCCCCCATCCAGCCTCCAGATGTGGAAAATTGTGGAGTGTTCGCTCAAAAGGAAAATGGCTGATTAGATAAGCGTTTGAATGGCCTGTCATCTCTTCTGGGCTCAGGCACACTCTCCAGCATCTTCAGGCCCAGCCACACACGTGCAGAGACTGGACTTGGAGAGGGGGGGAGGGTGCAATGAGAGAGGAAGGAGAGGAGCTGTGGGGCAGAAAGCAGAAAGAGATGGGGAGCTGGGCATGGAGAAAAGGGAGCCCTGTGATAATGACCAGTCTGACAGCCTGAGGTGCTGCTGTGCCTTGCACACGCGTTGCTGTGATGTTGGAAGCTATGCTGCCAGTATTCCAAGTACCAGCAGAGTCACCCAGAGTGCACAGGGTTCAGCAGCGCTTCCACGCTGAGACAGATTAGGAAGACAGGCCCGGAGGTCTACTTCTGAAAAATGAGGCCGCGAAAGCCTCCTTGGGCTACCATAGAAGTTTAGTGACACACCGCCGGACGAAGAGGTTAGAAGACACACAAAATACAGTGGCCACAGCAACAGACAAGCATCGTGCAGGTGGCACAGGACTGGGCAACATCCCGTTCTTCCGTACAAAGGGCCACATGTGCTGGCACAGAGGACAATAAACAACATCAATGTTCGGAGAAGAAGGGCTTGGGCGTGCAATCCGAGCTCAAATTCTGGCTTCTTCTCGTGCGAGGCCAGAAGTGCCTCCTCATCGGATGGGGATGCTCTTCTTTAGCTCCTGGAGCTCTGTGAGGTGGTGTGCAGAAGGACAGCAAGTACAAATTGCTTGCCTAGCAAGAAGTGGTGATAAGAAAGCAAGAGAGAAAAAAATCACACAATGCAGAGAGCGGTGGATCACAAAGGGGAGAAGAGAGGAATTGGAGGAGGAGCCCAGGAAGAGAATGTGCAAACCAGCACAGATTTAAGAAGGAAGCAAAAGTTAAGAAGTGGGGACCCAGGGCCCATCTGTGGGAAATTGGACATCCCCTGGCAGAAGGGCCACAGGGAGGAGACAAGCCAGTCAGGGTGCAATGTAGCAATGATAAAACATACAATTTTCCTCTAGTTCTTGAATGCTTCCTCCCCCCCACTATCATGACCCCAATTCTACCTTACAAATCGGGCTGGACCGGAGGGTGTACACTGGTACAGATAGGAACTGGAAACACGGGGAATCCAGGACAGATGATCCCTTCAGGACCAGTGGTGAGAGTGGTGATACTGGAAGGGTGGAGAGAGGGTGAGGGAGAAAGGGGCAACAGATTACAAGAATCTACATATAACCTCCTCCCCGGGGGATGGACAGCAGAGAAGTGGATGAAGGGAGACGTTGGAGGGTGTAAGATATGACAAATAATAATTTATAAATTATCAAGGGTTCATGGGGAAGGGGGTAGCGGAGAGGGAGGGGAAAATAAGGAGTTGATATTAGGGGCTCAAGTAGAAAGCAAATGTTTTGAGAATGATGATGGCAACATATGTACAACTGTGCTTGACACAATGGGTGGGTGTATGGACTGTGATAAGAGTTGTACGAGCCCCCAATAAAATTATTTTTTTAAAAAGATAAGATGGAAGCAATAAATGCTACTATACTAGTTAACACCATATTAAAGCTTTCATATTTTTTTTAAAAAAGGAGTGTCGGCTTCTTCCAGGATTCCAAATGGACAAGTATTCCAACCTCTCTTCCGTTCCCACAGATGATCCCGCTCAGCCTTCTGACTCTGTACCTTTTCTTGCAAGTATATGTTTTAAACAATCTAAGTAAAAGAGTCGTTTCAGCCTAAGAGCGTGACAATTTTAGTCAGGTCCGTTCAGCTAAGAGGCGCATTCATGATCGGAGGACTCCTGCCTCCAAGAAGTACTAGCACAGGTACAAGAAAAGAACACCTTGGAAAATCAGAAGCTGGGGTGTGCAGGGAGGGAGCATTAGAAACCAGCCTGGGAGCATGGGGGTGGGACAGACCCCCCTCTCCCCAGGCCCTGGCAGCTGGGAACAGGGTGACTGAAGATCCTTTCATCATCTCCCTGGCTGACACTCAGACCAAGTCAGGGAAACATACTGCTCCCACCGACCAGCTGCTCCATTTATAACATGAAAGGTCCCCTCCTGAAGGCAGGTTCCCAGACACATTGGCTCCCTTTGGGAGCCTCAACCTCGGCCGCAGAAATCTGAACATTAGGTTGTCCACGAGTCTACTGGGTGGATAGCATATAAAGTGCTTTGTAGATTAATAACCATTTGTTGGCAGGAAGTGTGTTAGGAGGGGCAGAGGAAGCTGCCCCTGCCACAAATAAATTTTACCAAATACAATGGCAATATAAATACACTTCCCGCACCAGTTCTAATCTTTGCCATCTTCCGACCACTCATAAACTCCAAACTCCCTACTTCCACATGAGAGCCTCCACAGCACAGCCCCGTCCTCTCCTGGCTCCCATTGTCTCCTGCCACATGCTCAGTCCATCCAGCAAAACGATTCCCTGTCCCCACACACCCCCACAGCGTCTCACCTCTTTACTCAGCTCCTCAGGTTCCCTCTGCCTGGAATGCCCTTCTTCCCTTTCAGTCATTCATTCAGCCAGTTCCTCGCGTGGGAACCAGGTGCCAGGCACTGAGGACAAAGCAAACCAACAAACACATTTGTTGCCATGGGTGCGAGAGGGGAGTCGTGTGGTCTGGGGGGAATTCCGTGAACACAGAGAACCTGGAGCGGAGCGCTGTCCCGCTTCCGAGGAGCACAGTGCAATTACAGGACAAGTTGAACCTCATTTCCTTTTTCAAGTGAGACAGGACCATCACCTCCCACAGTTTAGACAAAACCCCGTGGGAAGGTGCTGACAGCTCAGCCCAAGGAGCTGACACGCCGCATGGTCTGACCTTCGCCTAGGATAAAGTAGACACTTTCCCTCTCATTCCTTGGGAAACTGCTGGAACACGGCATTCTATATCAGCTAGGTGCCCTGTTCCTGGCTTCATCCTTCCCTCTGGGCCACACACCAATTGGCTGAAATATTAATACTTCTTTGTTTGCCTTAAAGATAACTAATAACAAACCCTTTGTGTGGGAACTTGTCATGGAACTCAGGGTATGTGACCAGATCCATATAAAAGTATGCCTCAAGGAGCAGTCAAGGCACAGAGAGGGCCTTAGGGCGGCCCCACCAACATTCCCTACTGACTCACTGCAGGGGACAGCACTGGAGACACAGTGAGGGAATTGTGCCTGTCTGACACCCCACACATACACACACACTGAAGGGAGGTCAACAGAGCAGCAACGGGAGCAAAGCAATGAAGTCCCCGAGGAATCCTGAAACTAGACCTCAGACTCAGAGGGCAGAGCTTGGCCCCTCATCAGACTCGATCGGAAAACATACATAAGGATCAGCAGACAGACCTGGAACTATCTATAGCCCCCTGCTTTTTTTTAAAATTGTTCTTCTTTTTTCATGTCTATCTATATAGGATAGGCAAGATAAACAATCCTGAGGAGAAAATAATGGGACCAATGGTTCCAGGGCCACAGGGGAACAGGGTGGGGGGCAACAAACCCAGGGAAAATGGAACAACAAGTGCTCTAAAATCAATGCGTGAGGAGGGTGTAGATGCCTGGTGGGGTTTGATCAAGTGCAATGTAACTGAGAGGAATTATTGAGAGCCGAATGAAGGTCAAACATGACAGTGGGGCAGGAGGAAAGTAAAATGAAATAGAGGAAAGAACTAGGAGGCAAAGACATTTATAGACTATAAATATAGGCATGCACATATGTAAAGTATTAGCATATAATGGTAGGAATATAGGTTTATGTACATATATTTATGTCAGGTATCAAGGTAGCAGATGGACATTGGACCTCTACTCAAGTCCTCCCTCAACTCGAGAACACTTTGTTCTAATAACCTGGCATTCTGTGATGCTCACCTTCCCGACACGATCACTGAAGTAAAAATGGGTGCATAAGCAAATGTGGTGGACAAAGCTGATGGTGCCCGGCTATTAGGAGATATAGCATCTGGAGTTTTAAAGGCTTGAAGTTAAACAGGTGGCCATCTAGCAGGGAAGCAACAAAACCCACATGGAAGAAGCACACAAGCCTGTGTGACCATGAGGTGTCGACGGGATCAGGTATCAGAAGACCCAAAACAAACAATCATATCCATGCAAACATAGGAGTGGAGATCCAAAGCCCATTTGTAGACAATAGGACATCCCTTCACAGAAGGGTCATGAGGAAAGGTCAAGCCATCGAGGGTGCGGTGTAGCACCTATGAAACACACAACATTCCTCTAGTTCTTTAATGCTTCCTCCCCACCACTATCATGACCCCAGTTCTACCTTACAAATCTGGCCAGACCAGAGCATGTATGGATTGTTGTAAGAACTGTAAGAACCTCCCATAAAATGATTTATATATATATTTTTAAAAAGGCCTGCCTCAAATAAAGATCCGGGTCTTGGAGTCTCTTCTCCTTGAGCCCCTGCACCCCACATTTATTTCTTCTCTCTCTTTTGTCTCTTCAATTCTTTTCCATTGCAATTATACCCTCTTGTCTCTGGCCCATTTGTGAGCTGGCTCTTACAAAATTGCTCCATTGGGTTTTCTTGGCTGCAGTCTTCACAGGAGGAGGTCAACAAGCCTTTCTTCGGTGGCACGCTAGGTCTATTTTGGATGTGACCAGTACTGGGCACATGTGGGCCACAAAAGAAAGGAGGGCCCTTGCTGAACTGGATGGACACGGGGCTGCCACATGGGCTCAGGCACAGGAACCATCGTGAGGAGGGAGTTTCATTCTGTTGCGCATGGGGTCGCTATGCGTTGGAACCAACTGGACAGCACCTACCACCTGGACAGCACCCCCTGTTGGGTGGGATGCAGGGGTGGTTATCATTCAGGTCCGTTGCACACACATTTGCTGACTTCCTGAGCTAGCACAGGGCTAGAAGCTAGGACGTCTACTTGAAAGGACTCCCTGTCCAGTGGAAGATACAAGCACAACCAAATGTGCCGCGTAGCAGAAGAGAAGTGTAGTGTGCTGGGGAATGCACAAGAGAGCGCTGCCCCTTCAGGGGGGTGCGGTTCGGTAGAAGGGCTTCTCAGAGGAGGCAACCACTAGTAGGGGGCAGGTGGATGGGGTGTTCGTAAGGGTCAAGGGTTGCTGAGGAAGGGGAAGAGATGCCGGGGCTTCAAACAAAGGCAGCTGTGTTACCAGATTTGTAGACTGAGAAACATTGGGGTGTAGAGGACAATAAGAAGGGCAGCGTAATAGTAGACGCGTTCTGCATTGGCCTGTAATCCTCAGGGTCAGCCATTCCAAATCACCAGCCGCTCCGAGGGAGAAAGATGAAGCTTCCTACTCCCATAGAGCTACCATCTCAGAAACCCACAGGTCAGGTCTACTCTGTCCTTTAGGGGCGCTGTGAGTCAGCATCGACTCAATGGCCATGAGACATCTGGTTTGTTTAAGCAGAGCGCCGAGGGAGCATCTGCAGAGCAGGCAGGACAGATTAGGAACTGCCTGGGAGGTCACACCAAGGAGTTTGGAGAAATGTCAACCTGCAGGATAGACTACTCGCAAGCATGGGACTCACTCGTGGGGATGGGCTCTATCAGACATGGACCTCCAAATGGGGCAGGGCATATAGCTTAATGCCACCGAGTCGATCCCAACTTACAACAACCCTATATGTAAAGCCCTGCACGATGAGTAATTCGCCCTACTCCCAGGAATCCTTTAGCACCGGCTGCACTGTAAACTATGTCTGTTGTCCGTTACAGGGGCCTCCGAGTACACTTGCTGTGACTGCACACACATCATTCCGGCTCAAGAAGACCTGGTGCAAAGGAGCAAGAAACTACCAGAAGGATGCCTGGGAAATGTTCCCCCTGCTATGATTTCAGTTCTGTCCTCTACAGACACCCACAGCTGTTGTTAGTGGTCACGAAGTCAAGGCCAGCTCACAGCGACCCCACGAGTGCAGGGTAGGTAGGAGTGTGCTTCACAAGGTTTTCAACATTTTGGAAGCAGGTCACCAGGTCTGTCTTCCAAGGCTCGTCTGAGTGGGTTTGAACCACCAACCTGTTGGCTAGTCATCGAGTGCTTAATGGCTTGTGCCAGCCAGGGGCTCCTTGGAGCCAGCCACGGCAGCTCTTTCAGCGAAGTATCTGACAATCCTTCCTGGCTCCCCCGGCATCCGCAGCGGGGCCTTGAGCTGCACTGCAAGCCTTCTGAGGTCTCACACACACACTGAGGATTATTTGTTCTACCAGCCACATATTATCCCTGCAACTTGACCCTGAGTGCCTGGAAGACGAGCCTGCATCTGATCGCCGTTACCTCCTCCCTGGGCTCAAGCCTACGGGAAGGTGACTGATGTGCTCTTTGGAGATAGTAGCGTTGGATTAATAGGGGCTTTTTTTTTTTTTTTTTTTGAGCCCCTCAGAGCATGCCAACTTGCTTCCCAGCTGCTGAGAGAATGGTCCAGAATGCACAGGGGTGGTGGGCAGCACGTGAGGCTGTGGAGCTTGTCGGCAGAGGCGCGCCATCGAGAACTGGCCAGCCATGGTGGCCAGAGCACCAGAGAGGCCAAAGCCACCAGGCTGCCCTCCTGCCCGAGCGGGCCCTTCCTGGAGGTATCCAGAGCAGAGGCTCCACCCTCATGGACTGTTCTCCTGCGGCTTCCTCCCCGCAGGTCACTGGAAAGTTCATCCAGGTTTGTCAAGATTAGATTGTGCGAGAGAGCTGGAGTCCACTTCTGATAAGGGCTGCCTTTCACAGTAATAATAGCAGCACCCTGGAGCCGTGCATCGTTCTGCTTCCCCTACAGTGAAATGTGGCCCAGGGTAGGCTCGACTTGTGGTCCAATGAAAGGAATTCTGTTGCAAAGGGATCCAAAGAGCCTCCCTTAAAGAAAGCCGTAGACAGAGCGATGCCAGTTCAATTCAAGAAAGTGTCTCGTGAGGTCGCAGACTCCACCCAACTACAAAGGCGACTATAAATAATAAAGTACCCAGCAGAACTGCTCTCTCGGGACCCTGGTACATTTTTTTCATTTGTGCATATTTTTCTGATTTCCCTTCACCACAATCGTTTCTCTCTAGAAGATTGAGAAGAACGACATGAGAAAGTGGCCTTGACCCTCAGCTATTCTTAGTGATTTTATGACCCACTGAGATGCTCAGCCCTGGTGGTCAGAGTTACACCAAACCAGAACTTGAACTTAAGTCATCGTCATCATCCTGAAATGAAATAACACTAATTGAGACCATTCTATGTACTAGAAACTCTGCATGTTGCTTTGCATATAGTTTCTCCTTTGATTCTCACAACGACCTAACCTGAGAAAGGAGGGGCTACTGTTGTGACCAGCTGCCCTGGTGTGGACTCTGGCTCATGGCAATCCCATGTGCAGAAGAACAAAACATTGCATGGCCCCACACCATGTTTGCCATTGCTGGGATGCTCAAGGCCATTGCCGCAGCATCTGAGTGTCTTCCGACCTGGGAGGCTCATCTGGCACCACAGCTGACACAATTCTTTTGTGAACCTAGGGTCTTCGCCGGCTGGTTTTCAGAAGCAGATCGCTAGACTTTTCTTCCTAGTCTGTCTTA